ATAATCATTGAAGAAAGTGTCACACCAAAATACTCATTAGAACTGAAACGATGAAATTACCAATTACAGATATATGGGATTACCAATCAGGGTAAATTCAAGGATAAGGATTTGGGACGACCTCTGTAAAGGTTGAGTGGATGTAAGAGTTGATATGTCTTTAAAGGGAAAGGGGAATAAACTACTAAACTCATTATCTGATATAACCACATAACATATGTCCACTGTTCGGTATTGTTGGAGAATGCTCTGTGAAGACTGGTGAGAATTCCCAGGAGGAGAATGCTCTGTGAAGACAATGATAGGAGTTCAATAGAAACTGGTGGGAATAAGCGTCGATATGTTTAAGAGATAAATGAAGGGGAAAGGCACTTTGTTTACATTCTTTATTATTATATAGGCATGAGAATTAGGTCTCAGATAGACTGGCTCTGTGGTGTAACTCTGAGCAAAATAGTTCCACAAGAGTTGGCATGGTGACAGACTACATGGCACAGAATTTAGACTAGCAATAAAGGACTAGGAATAATAGAAGATTGAGGAATTTCTTCACAGATATACAAATGGCCTATTGGTGGTGAAGGGCAGGATAGGATGATACAGAGGGAGAGAGTGCACTACAATGAATTTCAAAATGGGGATTGACAGGTGATGCGGAATGTGTGGCCTATGTGGGATATTAAAAAAACTAGGAAGCTGGCTTCCTTCTCAGTTCACGCGGTGTGAGACGCAATACTAACACTATAACTAATTTAAGAAGGTCCCCGAGTTGATATAACTCCTTGTCGATACTATTAGTCTTGGCACCACAAGATAAACTGAATAAGCAACCTAAGCTTAAAGTTGAAAGTTCTACTTGTTCTATGGACTAGAACTATGTGAAGAGTGGGAGAGAAAGATAATGCAACGTTACTTAGGCTACTTACTATTCGGATGGAACATCCTGGATACAAATCGAACCGTTGGAGGCTTGTTGGGGTAATCCTCCGAAAATTGAAGTGTCAGCTTAAACGTACCTGCATACAAATCAGAAATTTACTAGTCAAAATTGGGGTGGAAGGGCATGCTATAAATCTGAGGGTTCTTGCCCATACAAACAAGACATGCCTGTATCCTCCATTTTAGTGAAAGAGGAAAATCATGGATGAAAAAGAGAGAGCAAATCTTAATTATGGTGGGAAAATGGTCATGCAACACAAACACAGATTCCTAGAAACCTTCTTCACTGGAAAAGCACAAAGCATATGCATTACTCAGGTGGCAGTGATTGTATCAACACAAGATATTCATCCGCATAGACAAGTGTCTCAAAGTGCAATTTATGCATTTAAAAGGAACACAGAAATCACAAAGTAAAGTACAAGGAGGTGTGTAACTATGCATTCAGGTTTTATATGATGGACTTAAGAGTCAAAAATATGCTTCAATTCGTATCTTAGATTGTAAAAAGATACAGGTATAAAAAGATTGTAAATGAAGAAGAATTTCCTCACCTCCATCCCAAGGTGTGTCATCAGGACTGCATTCCAAGAAAAGAACAAGAAACGGAAGTGCATAAGTCAAAAAGAAAGAAGTACAAGAGCAATCATCATAAAGTAGCCGAATTCAATGATTTAATCCATAGGCATGCATACCCGAATATAACAGCATTCCAAAGCATTATATTGTTGTCATAAGGAGCACCACTGATGCCAGCAGGCGGATCCTGCTGTAACCGCTTAAAATCCCTCATCAATCTTTTCCTCGCCGGCGTCGACATCCTCACCGCCTAAATCCACGAATTACAATTCAAGAACAATAAATCAAGAAAACCCTAGATCCCTAAAATTTAGACACAAGAATCTAAAGTTTTCATTTAGAGAATCAGATGCTGTGAAATCGAACGAATAAATCAAGAAAACCCTAGATCCCCAAAGAAATCGAAAATAATTTCATAAATTAGTACTCCAAAGACATAACCATTGATTGAACATTCATATGTGAAGGATGAAGACGAATTACCTGAGTGTTAAAAGCGGCAAGAATTTCAATGAATGTAATTGGTTCAGAGTTGAGGTTCTTGTTTGCCTGCTTATGATAAATGTAGACTTTTGCGTGATATGTAAGCTGCTCAGACACATCAGGTATCCCGATCTAACACCCAATATATATATATATCATATCATCATCATATATTATTAAAAGTGGAAAGCATCAAATACAATGTTGGATTACCATTTTAGCTCTATATTAAATAAAAATGTTATAAAATATTTAATTAACAAAATATTAAATAGTAATCATATCACATATTATATTGTACTTAAAATATATATTTTTACATAAAATAAATACATTAAAAAGACAATTATTCATTATTAATCTTCTAAAGAAATTGTTGTCTCTTTACATTCTCCACTATGATCCTTGTCTTTTCATTTCACATATGTATATCTTCTTGTTCGTTACATTTTGTTTTATGAGTTTGATAGAGAGCATAGGAACATTGCTCTTTCCGATGCTCCATTCATGTGTATGTTCTTTTAAGTTATTTTTTATTTTGTTTCTTACTTCTTACTTGTCATATAATTTATATTGTTTGATTGATGTTTAAGATTTTGATCTCTGGTATAAAATAAAAATTTTAATTTTGTGTCAATAGCTTAAGAGATGATTTTTTTTATTGCAGGGAAAATCAATTGATGAGATGCTTCTGTGTCAATCGCATAGAACTGTACTTTGAGTTGTGCCAATACAAATGGGGTAAGTGACATTTCCTTCTAACGTAATTTTTTTGTTAGCACAATATTCTTTGTTTGGTTTTTCTTTTCTTTTTATTTTATTTTGTCAATAGTAGGTCAAATTTATTGAATTTTCATATGCAGATTCATGTGATTTATTTGTGTGTAAAGCTAATTAAGTATTGAATTTTGATATTAAATGTCATAACCCAATAAAAGTAAAAAATGTATTTATGAGCTATGGCATGTTGAGTGATTTGATATTCATTGCCTATTTGGCATCACTTTCTTTGTCTGAATTTAATTTTTTTAATGGAGCTTTCATCCAAAAAGAAAGAAGGGAGGATAACAACCCATGTTAAGAAAGAAAGGAATGAATACAATATCATATTTTGGTTATTTTTCTCACAAAATTATATTAACTTTCTTTGCTTTAATTTAAAGGATTATTTTAGTTATTTGAGCCATAGTTTATCCCTCCCTTTCTCATTCAGAATTTATATTACTTATCACTCACATGTCGTAATATTATTTTTTGTCATGTCTTTTTTTTTTTTGACAACATAAAACAATACATGTCTTTTGTTTCTCAAGTACAGTTTTAACAATACAGTCGACAAAATATAAATGAAATGCTAAATTCCTTTTCTAACTACAAAAACTATTATAATTGCGTTGAGTCCGATCAAATGAAATTCGTTTAGAAATGTAATATTGATTTTGGAGGTAGGACAACTGTTAATTGATGATATGAGCATATTAAGCCTGTAATCTATGGATTTAATTAACTTAATTATTTTTTGATCAAAACATAATCATCATATCATCATATATTATTAAAAGTGGAAAGCATCAAAGTACAATGTTGGATTACCATTTTATCCCTATATTAAATAAAAATGTTATAAAATATTTAATTAACAAAATATTAAATAGTAATCATATCACATATTATATTGTACTTAAAATATGTATATTTACATAAAAAATAGATACATTAAAAAGACAATTATTCATTAATAATCTTCCAAGGAAACTGTTGTCTCTTTACATTCTCCACTATGATCCTTGTCTTTTCATTTCACATATGTATATCTTCTTGTTCGTTACATTTTGTTTTATGAATTTGATAGAGAGCATAGGAACATTGTCCGTTAGATATTGGATGTCATTGATTTTTGAATATATTTATCATATTGATGTAATTTTGAAAAATACTCATGCTCACTAGTAAGGGATATACGCGCAATGCGTGTGTTGCGCGTGACCAAATACTAGTATATATATACACCCTACTCCTTCGCCCTTCGGTTTCATTTTACTTTTCGCACCTACGAATATTTATTTTTAAACCATATATTTTTTTTAAAACATAATGTTCAATTAAATATAAACGTATAATTAAGGTCGAAGGAGTAACATATTATTTTTTGATAGATAATTTAGTAGGAGTTGAATATGAATAAGTTGATATTCTAAAAAGAATGGTATATGAAAGTTGCGAGCCTTTTTTTCATACTCAATTTTTTTATCACTTCTCTAAATCGAAGGTTATCTTAGCATAAGAGATTTTCTTTTCAACCGATTGAGTCGAACTACAAGCAATCTGATTCTCATGTTTAGGGATATGTAGGCGAGTTCGATGTTGAAAACTCGACTGTAGTCCAACTTCTCCTCATTCTATTCCCATGTTTTTCGATCTCTCCATAATTCGATGTCGAGATAGCTTTTGAATTCTTTAAAAAATCATGCGTCAAATCAAGCATCATGTTGAAAATGGCTTGAATTCACATATATACATGAGATATGTAGAGAACCTGATACCGGGATCTGGCCATAACCTCTCAAAGTCTGTACCAAAATCTCTTTTCTAAAAGATGAAGATGCGGTCGAACAAAATTGAATTTGTCAATTTTCTTTGACCAGGATCTCTTTCATCGACCCTACCCAAAGAAAGAGACAACTGTTGACACTCAATTTTGGTCCTTCACAATATAGATAAATCATTGAGCTTGTTTAATTTCAAACGAATTGAAATAACTAGTTTTATAAAATTCAAAATATTTTTTCAATTATTTTTTAATGTAATTTTGACATTTTAAAAATAAAATATATGTTTTTATATAATTATGTATATAAATATATAATTAGTAATGAATTATCAAAAACAGTCTCAAAAAGATTTTATTTTTACTTAATTATTTGACGTTTATATTCTTTTGAGTTGATTAAGTTAATTATTTATTGTTTACATCAACAAACCAATACTGAAGCCAGACCCAATTCTCCCAACAATACAATACGCGTACACCAACGACCCTTCTACTTCGTCGTCTCCTTCACAGAACCAAACGACCCGAACCCAGCAACGCGAAGAACCCAGAACCCGACAAACCTTCGCCAAATCACGTATCCTTCCGTATGAAGACCGTTGGTGTCTCAATCTCAGTGCCGCGTCGTCTCCACCTCAAGAACCAGACGGCTCTCGTTGGTAAATTGTACGATTTTAACTCATTGGAGCCTTCTCCATTTCAAAATTTGATTTAATTTGACTCTGCCTCGTCGTTTGGGACCCGAAATCCTCCCCACAATTAAAAATTTCTCTTTTTTCAACTGGATACTAGCAATTAGCAAAGCCTTTTCGCCCAAATAGTTTCAGGAGGTGCTTCAATGGCAAAATCATTCGATGCCCAGATGTATCTGAAGAGAGTCGGATTAGGGAAAGAAGATTATCACTTCTGGAAGCAAGTGGGAAAGGCTTTGCTCTGTACTTACACTCTGTTTGGTGTGGCGTGGGTGTGGAATGAAACTTCGCCGCTTGGTTGGTGGACCTTAAAGCCACGGCCAAAGGAAGAAAAAGAATTAGCACATCTTTACGAACGCCGGAAATTTCCATATCCAGGTGACGACAAGGCCATGGAAGAATTCGTTGCCAAAGGTGGGATGATTGGGACTACCATTGGTCCCAAGGGAATCATTGAATCTGATAAAGACTCATACAATTATCAGAAAGCATTGCAGGATAAGAAAGTTGACCAAGAAGCCTTCAAGCTGTGGACGAGGATGAGGAATGAGGTCATTTCTGAGCTTCAAGAGAAAGGGTTTGATGTAGAGTGAGTGAATATAGTTAATTACTGTTAATCGGATTTGCTTCTCTCATGCTTATACCTTAATTGCGCACTTTGTGCCTTGCAAATTTACTATGTATTTATGTATTTTGTAGTTGGATGTTTAATGTGAATTCATCAGTTTTGTCGTTCAAATGTGTGCTGACTGATGACTATCTTTAAGTTTCTTGACCTGGATCACCTCCTAGTTGTTCTCTTTGATAATATAGGAACTCTTTTATGGGGTTATCTCAGCAAACTTCTTGTTTGTTTCATTTAGGTCAGTTGGAAGTATCTGTTGGTTTTCATATTTGAAAGTATGTACTAACCTATGGCTTTGTAGGTTCACATACATTGCAGAAATTTTTCTGTGTGCGCGTATACACACCTTTTGTAGGCTGAGAATTTGATATTACTGATGTTTACCATGCTCAAATGCCAGTTATCTAATCTTGTTTAGTTAAAAAGTTAATTCTAGTTTTCTTCATGCCTATGCCTATCTCAATAGACAGAAAATAGTCCACGTCCTAGTTGAGGTGTTCAAATTCGGGAGAATAGAGATGACTTGAGCCTAAAATTAAATTGGAACCTAATTAACAATCATGTGCACAAGTTTAATTTGGAGGCACAAAAACTTAATGACGTAAGATATCAAAAACAGATCTATCCCAATTCATTGGTGAGGCACAAAAAACTCAAATCTTATATGATATCAGTAGCAAATATTTTTCAATTTCTTTGTTCACCAACCTTATTATATTATCTGAACATGCATGAGAGTACCATGAGAGTGTTAAGAAGTCCCACATGGACAATTGATATCATTGACATCCTTGTATGAGCTTGATAATCCTTACCCTATAAGCTAATTTAATTTTTGGGATTGAATTCAATCTATAATCCATTTCTTTACAATGTCAACCATAATTATCGTAACGCCCCTCAATCCACTTGAATTACAAGCCCACTTCTTATTGTCATATTCAGATTCCAGGGCAAATGTTCCTAAAGTATATGTAGGACAACCTGAGCTACTACTAGTCAATAGCAAATTGTACCATAAAAAGAGGTACTTAGACAAATGCTAAAACATGACGCTAAGTCAGAAATATGTAACTGTTGGGGGAAAAAAAACACTACTGCATCAAATTTTCGCCATGACCTTCGTTTGTTTCCTCCGGTCTGAATATGTACACTAGCAAACCGCAAGAAGGGAAAACAAAGAAAAATTAGGGAGGAAAACAAGGGTAAGAAAGATGAGAAAAGGAAAAAAAAAGTTTTTTTTCTTTTTTGGTTCTGCTTCACTGCCAACTTTCGTCATCATCCACAGAAATTCTCTTGGTGGGGATAATTCAATTCACTTAACCATTTTTGGTCCCTTGTACAATGCTCCAACTACAGTCAAGTCATCAGGTTTTTCCCTCTCTTTCAGCCATGCATAGTCACCCTTCTGTTCCTCGGGAACTGAAATCGACAAAAAAGAGTTTGCATAAACTTGCTAGTCCGTATATATAATGCCCTTTCAGGTACACAATCAAAATCAATTTACCATATTTATTAAAACACCCTGTCAATAAAAAAGATAACAAAGATTCTTGTTGTCTGATCATGTGATCCCAGAAATAGATTGAAAATCAAGTTGCCAATTTTATAAACACTCTCTTAACTGTTCTGGGAACTGTCTCCCCACCCGCCAACAATTTGGAAAATCAAATCTCAATGTTGTTAGATTCAACCTTTTTCACCAAGGACTTTGACAATTTACACTAGCGCTTCGTTAAAAGCAAGGACGAAAAAAAATACAAGAAGTATACCGGAGATATTGGAAAACGGGAAGTCATAGTAGTATTGACAGTGGCGACCTTCAGGATCACAATATGGTGGGCCAAGCACATCCAGCACGGCGCAAGCTGTTTTTGCTGTGAAACAATGCATATTACCACCATCAGCCGGATATAAGATGGAGGTCTTGCAAGGAGCTCTAAACGCTGAATTCATCTTCACTTTTGCTAGACGAATTCCAGTAGTAGAATCCCCAAGTCCATCTGATAAGGAAATAATCACCAATAAGTTAGGCCCCCTTTGATCCTATATTTTTAAAATACATCAGTTATACAAATGGTATGCAAGAAAATAGAAAGCAATTGGATTTGGTTCAGCAGGGAGATTTTCAAATACAACATCATCTTATGTGACAAGTTTAAGACCACAAGATATAAAAAGATTATAGATACCCTCAACAAAGCAATCTCCAACTAAAAAAACTTACTATCTAAAGGCTTAGCAAGTGGAGTTGGTTCAGCAGGGAGGTTGTCCACCCAGTCATACGATTTTATGTGCATTTCTCCAAAAAGAAGCTTACTAAAAACCGTCATTCCAGGGTGATCATGAAGTGGAATGACAGCTGATGGGGGCAAGCAGAAGATACCAATCTGTCAAAGAAGCAAAAACGCATTTATAAGCCTCAAAAAGAAGACACTGAAGAGAAGAACATACACAGCCTGATTCATTATAGTGAAACAATGCACTTTGGCCACTTACTGAGAATTTATCACACTCATGGAGGTGCAGGTACGTTATTGTAGGTGGTCTGTCATATCTTATTGACTTAAAATATGGCATGTTCGGTCTCAAGCCAACGTCTGCTCCAGCCATGGTATCTGCCGATCATACGAGTTATTAAGTAATTACATTGTGTCTAAATCAAAACAAAAGGGAAATTTGCATTCACATCAAAACAAACTAGAAACTCATAAATTATCACGTCACCCCTACCTCTCCTCCTCATAAAACCTTGAACAATCACAAGCAAGATAAACTATTGAACTACAGGGAAAAAAGAAGGAAAAAAAGCGTAGCAGTTATTTTCCAATAAAACATTCTGAAAATAGTAGTACTCACCAAATTTAGAAAGAAATAACAGTTGTATTTATCCAAACATTTACACAGTCCTCATAAAACCCTCAAATAGCAAAGCAAGGCAACCAGATTCTGTCGTGCTAAAATTGGATACATCAATCAAAATTGTCCAACACGGTAATCACCACCATAATATTGATGGTTGAACGCATAACCAAATGTAGAAAGACATTCAACTCTTCTTCAAACATAAGGTCCTATATGTCCGCTACGAAACTAATGAATGAAAATCACATGTAACAGCTCAATTATTTTAATTTTTGGCACCCATTACGCATTCCTCTGTTGGGGAATTAATTAACTCACTCCCTTTTGTAATTTAAAGAAGACCAAAATTGGATTCCAAAAATGGTTATACTAATAGCAATGCCCGATTGCGAATCAAATATGGTCCACATACGCACTTTAGAATAAAATAAAAAACGAAACTGAAATTTATGACGCAACAGCAATTCAACATTAAACCTAGGCTAAAATAAATTACTCCTACTAAGGAAAAGAAATGTATACCCAAAACTTCCTTGAGACGTTCAATCTTTTCTGCAGATGGTACAACACCAGGACCACAATTAGCAAAGGTTTCTTTGCAAGTTTCATAAAGTCTTTGAACCGGGGAAATCATCCTCTGTCTTCTCCGGTTCTTCTTCGAATCGCTATACTCTCTGCCTCTTCGTTCACACACATTTTTGTCGATCCTCATCCTCAAAATTGAATCAATTTTTTTCTCTTTAGCTGGAAATAATTCAAGAAAACTATGATCTGGGTATCGAGTGTGCTTAGATATTTACTATGTGCATTTTTTATGGGTAAATTGTTTGATGATGTTGGAGTTGAGGGGGTTAGTTAAATTGTATTGTATGTTGTTGAGTATAAATGAAGAAACACAGCGGAAAAAACTAAAACCAGGGGCTATTTCCTATGGGCTCTGCCACTAGACTGTTTTTTTTATATTTATTCTTTCCCAAACCCCCTTTACTTACTTTTCAGATTGTCTTCCACCCCCTAATCTTTTTCTTAATTTAACCTTTTACCCATTTCTTTTCCTTTTTACCGCTAAAGAACGATCAATTGAGAAATTTTTATTAAAAAGTCCACCGTACATGGTATCAATTAAATTAATTAGATAAATAAAATTTAACCATCAAGTGATTTTTCCACTTTGATAGAAATAAACAAGTCAAATAATAACCAACGAGATAAAAATATGAATCTTGATCTATCATTTTTTTATTTTGATATGATGCGTATTAATTAATTTAAAATAAGTAAACCTACCCTACAAAAATACAAAGAATCATGCTTGACATGGTTTGAAATAATATGCAATTTGACGGCTTGCAATTATGCAAAAAAAAAGTACACTCCGTAGCATATACAATTCGTATAAAATGTTTAATTACGTACGAAGGTAGCATCGATCTCTTTTGAAGAAGAATTATTTAAATAGTACTAGTGATCTAGACAATGAGGGTATGAACCTAGTCATTCATTCTACCTACTTTTTAACTGTCACCAATTTCCTTTTCATTTTTTGTCTATATACATTGAATGTTATGCCACAGCCTTTTCTTTTCTTTCTCAGTTTCTGATACGATATCTAACCTAAAATCATTATTACTGTATTAAAATATGCACATAGCTTTAAATAATATGATTTTCTACTATCAATTATAATTTGAATCAATCCAATCTCCCCCCGACTTTAATTATATATATATATATTATTAGTTAATACATGTAAAACGTGTGAAACATTTTTCGAGTTTTCGTACTATAAAAGAGACAACAAAAAGATAGACCAAAAGGAATAAATTACGTACAATAATTGAATTAATCCCCTTAATTTTCTTTAGCTCTAGCATTGCGTGCCTAGGAAGAACATATTCTCTATGAGTATAACAACTAATGTGTGTGAAGAAGTAAAGGTAATTTGAAGTGGAATTTTGTTTGATTTTAATTTTAATTTTTCACCTCAACATGGCTACCATGCAATATAAAAAATGGCTTAAGTCATGTACGGCCCCTTAAAGTTGTCCGCATAATTCACTTAAACACCTCAACTAAGGCTAGTACCTATTAGACACTCTAATATTAACGAATTTGTACCTATTGAACACAAAATGATAATAAAGTTTTAAAATGTTGTGTGTGTAATTCACGCGCACTATCTTAAAAAATATAACAAATAAAACTGCAGCATGTGGCACATGGGCCAATCTAATGAATTTTCATTTTTT